CTCTAGTTTGTCTCATCAAATTTAGGGACAGCTAGCGCAGATAGTCTTTCAAGTAACTTGTTTTCTGATTTAACTACTAATTTTTCAAAGACCTAGTTTTATATTCATACAAAACGTTGTAACTGTTCAAATAAGATTTACTGCTTTCCGATAACAAAAAAAACTTATTTCTGTGATCGCATGATAATTTTAGATGTCAAAATAGTTTTATGTTCGTTTTTCGCTCATTTGAAATAAAGATTTTACGTTTGTAATAATACAGGTGTCAAGTATAGATTTGCAAAAAATAATGGTTTATGTTAATATAAAAATGTTTTCTGCTCATGCAAGTATATTTTTGAGCTCATATAAATTGCTTTCATATTCTTAAAGATACAGTTTTTATGTTCATATTAGTCCATTTCTTTAAAACTAAAACATAAACACTTATGCATTTCTGTAGTTTTCCTAATGATTGAAAGTAAATAATAATAAGCATAAAATTCCACTTCTACAAAATGTGTGAATAAATATATATATAGTTTAGTTTGTTTGTAATTATGCACAAAGCTACACAATGGGCTATCTGTGCTCTGCCCACCACAGGTATCGAAACCCGGTTTCTAGCGTTGTAAGTCAGCAGACATACCCCTGTGCCACTGGGGTGGGGGGAGCATAAAATTTAGAAGTAAAAACTTATACAGCCTGTATTCTACTGGAAAATATTAAGTTACACTATGATTTGCACCTTTTAAAATTGATTCCAGTTTGTATTTAAAGGGGTAATTGACACGTATTAATAATTCGCAAACCATAAAGTTATTTCCACATTGCTGGGTTCTCAGAGTTTAGAGATGTCGTATATAAAATGCACCTCGGCCATTATGTCGGAAATGAGCTTGTCATATCTGATATATATGTGTGAATGTGATAGTTTTGTTTCAAAATTATTTCTAAAGAGTTCACCATGATAACTATAACGTCAAATTGTGTATGAATTATTAATGATTTCTATATTTTGAGTTTTATCAAATGTCGCTTTTTTTTTTGTATGACAGAAGTTAGGAATATAAACTATTACGTTTTAGTTATTGGATCCCTATAACAATTAAAGTGAAGAAGAAAAATGTTGTATCCTAAAAATACTCCTAGTGTATAAAGTTGCTGTCAAATTCATCGAATTAGGAGTTGTTTTTTGTTTGTATGTAGCTTATTCATCATGGGTGGCACGTGAATAGTTTTAAGCAGATTATGTCGACAACCCTTTGGTTTAAAAATAGAAAAATGGTGGAGTGCTTTCAGTCACGTGACCAATTAACTAGAGTTATATACACCAGATGGTGTTTAGGTATTTGGAAGTTGCTCTAAGAAGTTAAAAAAGAAAAACATTCGGACCATAACCTTTTTTGGGAAACATAGGTATAAAATCACACATCTGTACTGTGTAAAAAATAAATAAATAAACAATTCGCCAAAAAAGTTACTATAGCATTCAGTTCAAGTCAATCGTTTGGGGAAATGGGCACTTTTATTTTTGTAAAATTCGAACACAATTCGTAAAGTTATCAGTTTATGTATATATATTAATCATAAACTGTGTGTAGGTGTACGTGATTCTCCACACTATGAATATAACATAACATCATTGTATTTAACGTATCTAAAAGCAAACGAAAGGTTCGATTTTCTTACGAACGGACATTTAACAGAAATTGAGCTCAGTTATGTTGACCAAGTGTATATGTGAGTAGACATTTAACAGAAATTGCTACTCACATATACACTTGGTCAACATAACCGAGCTCAATTTCTGTTAAATGTCTACTCACATATACACTTGGTTAACATGACCAAGCTCAAATTGCGACTTTTCTTTAATACTTGTGTACTGTAATACGGGCTGTATCAGAAGGTTATTGGTTGGTTGCTCTTAAGCATAAAGCTACACAATGGGCTGTCTGTGTTCTGCACACCACAGATCAGAAGATTAAGTTTACTACTTCAGCATTACAGCACACAAATAAAGTTCGTGCAGAGAGGTCTTCAGAATTTAGATAATAATTTCGAACATCGTTTTGAGTACACGAAGGACAGTAAATAGTTACATCCAAGTGGTCCATTTGAGAAAACGTAGTTTAATAATTTGATTGAAGAGTCATTTAAAAATATAAATACTCACTCATAACACTGTTGATATTTATTTCTAAACTTGGATCATTTTTATAAAGCATCTTTTCAATTCGAGTTCTTGCTTCTAATTTTCTCGAAGTACTAGACTTAACAATGGTTCGCTGTTAGGAAAGGAAGTTAAATTAATCAGTTTCGAAACGGACAAGTTTAAAGACTAATACGTATTACACCCAACACTCGCTTATAAACCATATACAGATATTTGCTTTTAACATCTGGTATCAGATTCAAACATCCGGTACACCGTCATTATTTAACATCTGGAACTCCAAAACTCGTGATCACTACACACCCACCGACTGGTAACAAAGGTTTTTCTTCAACACACTGGTGGCACAAGATGTAAAGCTTTCACGATATGTTGTTGAACACGCTTCCTACCTTCAGATGGTTGGGTGGAGGAGGTTATAACGGTGACAGTCAGTCAAAAAAGCGGCGTAATAGAGAGCAGGTGCTTCTGACCGTTTTCTCCCCTTCTGCCCAGCAACCTTAAATTAGGGATGGCTATACCCGAATCTTAAGGGTCTCTAGCGTAGCAGTTTAGATGATGTGTTGTATAAAATACTTTTCACTTTGAAAACACCAATACCAGTATTAGCTTAAAATAGTTTTTCAAAATAAGTCTTTTTTTGAACAAATCAGCTTAAAAATGTATTATTGTTATGTTTGTATTGAGATTACAGCTTCTAAGCCATTCTGTAGGAGTATAATTGAAAATTTGTTTTTATTATGGTTTTTCATCACTTTTAAATTAGATTCATCTTTAATCGCCATGCCATATTCCGATATTAGGGTGTAGATCGCCTCAGCAGGCGGAGCATGACATTTTAACTAGTAATAGGAGTGTGTGTATGATATAACATCACAAGAAGATTGATAATGATTTAAATCACATCATTCTTTACTAGCCAAATACTTTTACAGTAAGAAGAGTGAATAACAGTGTTTCAGCTATACTCAGTGCTGCTGACATATCTGGTATCAAGTGAAATATCATGTCGACAACGACATACAAAACGAAAGCAAATAATTGTGGTTAAGCAAGTATTTGTTCTCATCTTTGTTTCAGATATTAGTGCAAGGAATATCTACGCTAGCCGTTCCCAATTTTGGTATGATAGACTAGATGGAAGACAGCTAGCCATTAGCACCCTCCGCCAACTCTTGGGTTATTTTATTTAATTAATGGAATTTAATTACCATTCTTATAATTCACTCAAAATGTTGAGAGCGCAGTCTTGCGAACCATAGAACATCAAATTCGCACTCGGGCACGCTAACTACTAAGCCTCGCCTAGCCTTCTTGTAAGCATATCAAATACAGGACAGTCTTTATTAGATGAAACAATGCTATTGTTTATTCGAAGCATGTCGAATAAATTAAAGCATGGGTTACGTTAGTAAACATTTTGCCTTATAACTGTTATTTCTAGGTTATTTTATGGAAAGGAGAGGACAATAATCCCCCCTCAATTACTACAGACGTAAATATATATATATATATAAAGCTTATTAAAATTAAATTTCATCATTATAAATATGTTTAATGTACTAATAAGCCAATAACATAATAAATGAAATAACAAAAAATCGGAGATCACCATCTAAAACCTTCGATAACATCCAGTAAAAAAGTTAACTTGAATATACATAGAATGGAAAGTTATTTATTATTTAGATAGTTTTAAGTCAACAGCAACTCAGATGGTAATACACTTCTTCAATCATAATGAAGTAAATTTTTACTTAAAAGCAAATATAAAAACAACTTTAAAGAGTAGTTTTAAAAAACAACTTTCAACGAAAAATAAATACATAACTGAAATAAGTTATATAGAAATAATAACATATAAGTAAATATTCCAACAGTTCTTTATAGTTTGAATTTTCCTCCTTTTTAAAAAAATAAAGATAAATTATGCATAATTCTATTGACATTTAAGTTACGTTATTTGTGTTTCTAGTTTTTATGCTTTAATATCTGGTGTTATAACTTTAATACAGGTTAATGATGCTGTGTGTGTGTAAACTGGTAAGAATGATAAGCTATAATGCTTATTGCTTTATAAAAAGAGTTCAATGTGACCTTGGAAGAGCATCCATACAGATGTCCAAATTCGATGACGAGGAACCCACCTTGAGACTAATAATTAGCCATTATCCATACAGATGTGTTCAACCTGACCTTAAACGCTTTTATAATCTATAATACCAGAGGTGTCTCATTCTCTGGACCAAAATAGACTTTGTAAGCTTCATATATTCTTTAATATAAATTCCTGTGGCATCTGGTTTTCTGGCTGCCAACATCTCGAAAAATATATTACTTTCTAACAAGGATGAAATGACAGTTCCTTAAAAAAACATTTTCTACATATATCATGTTTTGGTTTCCCCGGAAGTTAGGGCTATGTGTTGTTTTTCTATAAGAAACGTGTTGTGTACCTTCATTACTTTCTGAGACAACCATGTGGTCAGTTTTTATAAATACATTGTGATGTAACCATTTACTAAACACATTACACTAGATTCTTTAAATGTTCTACAATTGTATACAAATCGAAGAAGACAACATTAAGCTTTAACTTTTAGTATGCACCCAATTTGTTTTGTTTTCATAGTTAGTTAGGGTTTAGTTATTGATTTGTGTTATCCCGTAATTTGTTCACTATTTTGATTTTTTACTGCTTCTTTTGATTTGTCTAGTGCTGCAGTACTTTATAATATTATGAAATATTAATCTCAATCACTAGCAACAGCTTTTTGCTGCAAAATAGAAACGTATAACCTCACATTAGGTAAAAAACATACAAAAAAATACAGTATCAGTAATGTCGGCTCTCAGTCAGATCAGCAAGGTTGATGAGAGAGACTGTCACCCATTGACTGTAGGTTTGGGTTTTGTTACCTCAGTAGACTTATCTCTTGTCATTTTACAACTCGCAACACGTGAGGTGAAGAAAACTTGAACGCTAAATTTAGCTCGGAAGCTGAATAGCCTAAAACTTTCTAAGAATAAGAAGGATAAATATGTGTGTATGACTTAACACCATACCAGGCCTCTTTCTTTTTCTAAATTCTTAACACTATCGTAACGTTTTCATTCTCGAAAACTTCTTTCGGTGTATATAGTTTATATAATTTGTTATTTGTAGCTTGAATAAGCACACATAGCAACTGAAACGAAACAGAGAAATCAGTTTATACGATTTTATGAGCTCAACTTTTAAATGTTATCTTAAACCATAATCCTGATTTGCCTGGTCTCAGACGGCGTTACTTACAATCATTGACGGAAGTTCGAGGAAATTTCGCATGTTTCAGTTTCTTATAGTGTTAGGGACTCCGAAAAACTGCTTTTTTCGTTGTTGTTAAAACGAAATGGGGGTTCAGAAGGAAATGTTATATAATCCTTGTATTCCAGTTTTACACTTAGATTGGTAAGAAACACTATATAGTATAAAGACAACGATATTTCAAAGATAAAACAATGGCAGCAACATATAACGTTTACAAACTACAAAAAAGGCATACTTGTTCCTGTTGTTTTAGCGAAAGGCTACATAAATAGCTATATTTGTGTCATTCTACCATGGGGAATCGAACCCAGGATTTTAGCGTTATAACTATTACAATTTACGGTAGGTAGGAGTTGATGTTTACTCTATAATTTTCATTGTCTTTACACGGATTCATGTAACACGTACATAATAACATTTTTCACATTTATGCATCATTGTATATCATTTTATATTTAAAATATCATACTGTATAAGTGTTAGCTGTGTTAGCATGCCTACGGTTTGATCGAGCCAAGTTTAATCATGTTACCATGGAAACTGTCTGCGAGAATCTTATCGATATCTTCAGAGCGTCTGGCGCAGCAGTGCTTGGACAGAGTTCACTGAGGGCAATAACCTTGAAATAGACAGTTCTTGTATTCAAGGAGCGTAGTATATGATAGAGTGCAAGTCAGTCATGTGATTAGTCAATTCTTCTTTTTATTGTATGCGAATTCTATAACACAGGTGGCCGATTTTAGTGGTCCGTGCACAAGTAGAATTACTTAGGAATGGCATAAATTCTTGGATTTAAAACTCATAAAACAAAGTCTTCTAGCGCAGCTGATTAATGTGGCACGTGTTACTATGTCTCCTGTTCTCAGTATATCGTAATAACATTAATATTTCTTAACTTTATTTAAGTCGTAATGAAAACTCGTCAGATAACTTTGCATGCGTTGCTATAGAAAGCTATTTCAGTCTTTAAATATCTGTTTGATTTTAAAAAATAAAGTTTAGAAACTTTAAGGTTGTAGAGGTAACAGTGTCAGACAATGAGGAAGAAAATACAAATATAAGGAGATTTTCTCTATGTTATTTTATTGTGATATGTTTCTGGAATAGATATATTTTTAAAGGAAAATTACGATGTGTAAAACTTAACATCTGTCATCTACATTAATTCATTATTTGTATTTAAGAGTAATTCCAAAGTTAATATATTAACATCGCCGAGTTACATCCTAAAATAACATTACGTTTGTCGGCCTAACTGTCAGGAACTCGAAACTACATCTCAGGCTATATTATAACTCTCGTTAGCAGTTCGAGAAGAAATATAATGATTAGTCATTTGGCGTTCTTGAACTGAGTCATAACTATTCCAACTAGTGTTATAACATACTGGTTATAAGAGTTTTATTAACTTAGGAAGCATTGGCTATTCCTGTGGTATAACGTAGTAGAAATTAATCTTATCGTTTCATAAACATTAGCATTTATGTGATTTACGATTTAAACTTCTAGGCTATATTTTCTGTGATTTGGAATTATAAGTGTGAATCGTGAACATACCAAGATCAATCAGTTCAGGAGTTGATTGGAAATTTCCAGATAGATGTCGTCCTAGTAAAATTCCATGCTTCTATAACTGTGTAAATATCAGCTGTGTTTAGATGTAAAGAGCTACAGTTTCTCATTATTCTTTGTAGAGAAAAATGACGAGTTTGTAGGTGCTATAATTATGTATCTTTTTTTTGTTTTGTTGGTGTTAAGTAGCTAAAGCGGAAGTCGTGGTTTATATTGTTTTAAAGGTTTCTATCGTTGGATGGGTTCGTTTTTATTATTCGGTAAAAATAATGCAAAGTCCACTATACGTAACAATAAGGAAAGAGTTTTATTTCTTTTACCACAAGTTCTACAAACTCATAGAGCAATAAGTCTAACTTATAAATAACACTAAACACTCGCTTTCTTTTCAAATTTCCTCTCCTATATACAGAACCAATTCAAAACTGCCTGACTAACACAGTAATCGATCGACAACTCTGTAACTCACTAGTCAAGAACAACACCCTTGCGCTTTTATACTATTACAATATTTCCCCCAAAACCTCTAGAAAGTTCACGACGTCACGTGCACTTCACATCTAATTCCCCCTAACAAGCAGTAAAAAAACATCTAAATTAAAATATTATAGCACAGTTCACAGTACCTCTCCCTTCGTGAATTGTGAAGTTCATTGAATAACCTTATCACACAATGTTAATAATGATAACAAAATTAACATCCATCAAATATTTTCTGCTGTTTACTTTTCTGTGGCTTATGAGACGAAGATGGAATGACCTCTTGTCCTTTATCCTCTCTCTTGCTGACTTGTTACTTGGAGAGTTCTCTCTAGGTAAGTGATCGAATGAGTGCACTTATGACTACATTCTTGATGACACTGGAAGTGGCCTTGATAGGAAACCTTGGGCTCTTGAGCGAGTTGACTTACTACTGGCAAATTATTCCTAAAGCTAACCAGCAGCGGCCGTTTTGTCACCAAAGTATTTTCAGATACGATCACGGTAAATGGCCTTTGGCTAGGATCACTTTTCCTTCTGGATTCTATAAACGGCATCATTGATTCTTTTGACTAAATTGTAGAGTCCTTCCTAACATCTGTTTAGTTCCAGAGTTCGTCCTCTCTTGCGCGTGGACTCATATAATTCTGTTCAATCTTTCAGTAATTCTTATGTCATGAAATTGTTTATTGAAATAAAATACAAAATTATTCATTTCGTCTTAGAACTTCCATACTGTTAACTGTGATCACAAAGTTCTATTTTATATATTCAATAGATTTCAACCTAATTGACTTTCAATACCATATTTATTTTGCTGATTGCAGTTATCACCTCTTCAGGCTGTAAATCATTAAAAAACGCATAAACTGAGAAAAAAAAAGATTTATAGATGACCTAAGCCTTGGCCTTTCAAAATCGAGTCAGATCAGGCTATTAACAATATCTCTGCTAACAGTGTGCTCGGTTGAAATCAATATATATCTAATAATTACAAACTGTTTTCACTCACGTATAAGTTCCTTTATTTACTTGCGTTGTTTGAATATAAACTTAACAATAATATTTAATAAATAAGAATTTGAGTAACGACAATATTTATCTGTCGCTACCATACTCTAAAATTGTTATACTTCCAAATAAATATAATTTAAATCGAAATATTTTCGGAAATGAAAAGAAATTCTAATAAAAACCATAAAAAATACTAGATCTGCGATTCATTCCTAAGTCTTCTAAACTTCCAAATAAATTCCGTTGTTCTCCACAGGAGCTAAATCTAATTGCATTCTCATTAAAATATAAATTACTTCTTACGTCACTTTATTCAACTAACGTTGATGTAACTAGTTTATAATCAGCCTTAGCTAATGGTATTTAAAATCTTAATATGGCCATTTTCAAAGCTGTTCTTCATTAGTAGTTCGAACCCTTTTATGACATCAGAGCGGAAATTTTGTTTGTTTGTTGAAGTTAAGCACAATGGGCTATCTGTGCTCTGCCAACTACGGGTATCTAAACCCGGTTTTTAACTTTGTAAATCCGCAGACATGCCGCTGTGCCACTGGAGGGCTCAGAGTGGAAGACAGAGAATGAAAATCCTCAGAGAAACAATATTTATTTAATTGTAATATCAAGGGATGGTGAATTCTCAGAGCAGAAATGTAGGTTTGGACATTTCTTACGTTTTTTATTGCAAATTGTATAAAATCAAATTTACGAAATGACGATATATATATCAGTTTTAAAATATTTTGAGTAAATTTTTGTTGAAATACCGTCAGAATTAGAGTTATAAATGGTTAATCTATTTGAAAGTGTATGTTCGTTGCTCTTAATTATTCCATATGAAGATAGGACTGTTGTCGTGATCATTTTCATCCCAATTATTTAACATATCTCTTCAAACTGACACAAAGTTCTGTTTTCTATCTCAGTAAAGTTCTTATTAATCCAAACACTGAACCAACTTCATTGACAAGCTTTCTTGCTAGGTTCTCTTCTTCTTGGTTAGGAACAGCATATTCTTCTGACCATTTGATGAAACAGTCCATCACTGTCATAATGTATTTATTCTCACTGTTGATCTGTGTTAGAAGACAAGCACACTGACAGAAACTCTCTCAACTGGTACTTCAATACAATAAAACTGGAGAGTTTTACTCACAGCATAGTTATCACAATTTACACCGACTCTTCACAGATTTCTACTTAACATATAATTTTCTGCTGTTAGGAGATTTTGGAAATTATTGTGTTATCTGGTATCTTCTAATGTATAAACATAACAAGCCTTCTTGTAGGCATAATAAATCTCACTCTACCAAGTATATCTTTGTTGTTGGACTCCACTGTCTGCTATGAGGTTCATTCTGCACCATTTCTGATCTACTGAACAATTATATGAGGCTCATATCTTTCACCTGAACATCTTTCACTTGAGTACGTTAGTTCTTCTTCATCTGTCAGTGTCGCATCTTGAATTCTGCTCTGTTTTATTTTATGTTGCCCATCTTTTTATGCTGTTCTTTCCTTTT